GACTCTACGGGACTCTACGGGCACACTACGGGACTCTACGGGACTCTACGGGCACACTACGGGCACACTACGGGACTCTACGGGCACACTACGGGACCTTACGGGACTCTACGGGCACACTACGGGACTCTACGGGCACACTACGGGACTCAACGGGACTCTACTGCACTTAACAACAGCGGCATGGTATTACCATCACGAGTACGTGAGCCACCAACGGCGACTGGTAGATGGTACCGCCACCGCGAGTACGCGAGCTCCTACCAGAAATTCGTTGCGCCGCCCTTGGGGGCAAAAAACGGTGAAAGCTAACGTACGAAACCAGAGGGCAGCACAGGATGCGATCGCACGATCCTGCCCGTGAGCAATCTCCCAACTCATCTCTGTTATTTATGCCTGTAATATAATATCAATAAGTATAAAAATCATGTTCGCGACGAGAAATTCATTCCGCGTTTTAACGCCCGGTAAGCAATGGTCTTGTTGGTTAGGTAGAGGAAGCCTGGTGCAACGAAATTAGAATGCTTATTTTTATTTTCCTTTAGTTATGAACCGTCCGATGACTATCGCACGGAAGGCCGGTATCAAGCACTTAGTCCTACCGAAAAAATTCGGTGAGTCTGGTTGTATACTTTCCATTTTACAAGCATCTCTGTGATGAGTTATTTTTATAGGTTTTTGTTTGTGATTGATCATTGGTTTTTTCGCGATGTAGATATCGAGTTTCCGGAACGTCCTAAGCTTAAAATTATGGAAAAAGTACCTCAATATCCTGCTGGATTTCGCCCCTTCAAGTTACAGAAAAAGTTGAGGTTAATGCGGGGGCCTGAACCCTTTCACACGACGCTTGTGCATAAACAGTACGGAATCGTTGTAGGTATTTCGACTGATTTTAGCCGTTAACGACCACTTTTATAATTCCACTCGAAGACCCAAGAATTAATAGTAATATACTTTAGGCTACGGGTGGAGGTCGGATGGCTTATAAACATTTTGAAATGGTTCGAATGTCTCTGATCAGAAAGCTAGATTATGACAGGATGTTTGCAATCTGGCGTATCGATGCCCCTTGGCAGCCGATAACGAAAAAAGTAAGCTACGTCTATTGAGATCGAAAACATTGGTAGGAAGTCCGAGCGACATTAATTTTATATTCTATGTAACTTTAGAGCCAGGGACAACGTATGGGTGGAGGGAAAGGCGCTATCGATCATTACGTTACCCCTGTTAGAGCAGGTCGAGTCATCGTCGAAGTAGGAGGTCAATGCGAGTACATAGAGGTACGGGCATAGAGAAATACTTTTAACCACATTGAAACGATCTAAACTATTCTCGTACCGTGCGTAGTACGGGTATGTCAATGTTACGATGCTTTTCCTTAAGGTGGAAAGGATACTACAAGTTATCGCTAAGAAACTGCCCTTTGACGCGATAGCGGTTAGCCATGAGAAATTGAACGAAATACAAGAGACCGAGGAAAGACTAGAAAGGGAAAATCTAAATCCCTGGACTTTCAAATACATCGTTCAGAACAATCTCGGTGGCTGTCTTAACTGGATTTCTCCGGTAGATAAACTGTGGTTTGGAAAATACCGTTAAACCATACCTTTTGTGAATACATGTAACGAAATAAAATGAAAAATATAAACCGCATTCTATTCTGCCCGAGTAAAAGTATTTTCGTGGTTTTATTTCGACCTGAACGGCAAAGAAATTAATTTTAGCGACGGACTCCTGATCGTGGAATTTACGGGGTCAATCAACGGATCGGGTAATGCTTATGATACAATTACAATATTTTATATCTTTGATGACGGTTTGGTGGTAACAACAGGTAAATACTACATATTGTACATTGAGTAGGCAATAGTCTTATCTTAACTTGTCGATAATGACAGTGACGACCATGACAACGACTTTGACGATGACGGTGATGACTGATGGCAACGATGATAACGATGGTGGTCGATGATGATGATAACGATAGCAAAGTTAATAATTATACTTATCACCACTCTAATGAATTTCGATGCAGCGGAAGTCGTAACGATGCCAAGTAATGCAGAAAATGATCATCGTCGTTATCGTCATCGCAAATCGTTTCCTTTTTATATTCATATACATACTTTTATATATCTTAAATAGTCTCTCAATACTTTTGCGGCTATCAAAGGAGCGAGCGGAGGGAAGAGCGTTTTGCTCCATACCGGAGAAATTTCTGAAAATTTTCACGAACTAATTGCCGAATATTAACGATAACTATTTCCCGCCGTCGCGATAGGGACGATAAGAACTCCTGGGACAAACGTTATCCTTCTCCATACCCTCGGGACTCGAGCAGTCGGGTTCCTTTCCCTCGAGCGCAATTTTCACGGAAGAAATTAACTCGGGAAGCTATCGCGCGATTCGATTTCCAAAAAGACGTTCCTGCCCATCGGGTACCCTAAGTCGGGACGACCAAACTGGACCAGGGTGCAAGAAAAAGTGCGACCGGTGATCTTCCCGCCCCGGTTCGCCTCGGTTCGCGCCGGGGTCTGCCAAGTCAGGACGGAAACCCTTATCGGTATCAATAGGATGAGAGAAAAGTGACAGTCTTAAGGCTCGTGGTGGGTCGTCTAGGAAGCTAATCGAGAGATCGGACGACGATGACGACGACGAGGGCGCAGCATTGGACTAGAATGTCGAGTGTGGAGTATACGGGACACGCGGATCCACGGAACGATCACCCGCTGGGACAGCTGACGAGTCCCCGCGGCTAACTCGAACGGAGACATCGAGGAAGGGGTCGTTTTCGTAAAGTCCAGGAAAGTCTCCCCCAGCAGGCGATCGACCGTCGCGCACCAAGTCGGATATACATTGGTCGCGTCGAGTTTATTATTAATAACGTATGCATACCACGCGGCGGCGCTAAACACACAACTTTTATAGGTACCTTACCTCTAGATAGTTTTCTCGGCTTTAATACGGATGTTCGCGGCGCCCCCGCGGCGAGTAGCCCTTCGCCGGGTCCTGGCAGGACGTTGGCAGGATTTTGGCAAAAGACCCGACCAAGTTCCGTTTCGGCCGTTGCGCGGCCGAGGTTAGCGATTTCCAAGACGCCCTTTCCCCCTGATTTTCCGCCTTCCCTTGACCTCTCGAGGGACTACTCGGCGCGTGGGCTTTCGAGGGACACAGTGGCCGTACCTGCCGAATATTAAACGCTAGTCACTGGGTGGTCCGCCCCGTAAGTCGGCGGGGCTCGACCGAGGAATCCCTTCGCGGACCACGAATTAAGCGTCGGGTGTACCACTCGCGTCCTGCCGTGTAAAATACCGCATTTACATTGACGGAGGGTCAAGGGAATGCCCGACTAGTGGCAGTCGAACGAAGCCACTATAGGCGTTGACGAAACCGAAAATATCTCTGACACCTATGACCCTAGTCGAGGGATTTTGGAAGTTTCGCGCCGATTCGGTCGAGGATGCTCGAGCGGCATAAATTCCGGGCAAATCGGTCCTAAACCGAGCGTACACCAACTCGCGCAGCGAAGATCTCCACTTCGGGAAGCTAGGCTTTCGCTTTAACGGGCCTAAGTAATCCTTGCGGTATAATAACGCGCGATTATTATGTATGTACAAAATCTTACATAACGCAACATTTACAATCATTACGACGCACGGATCAATCGAATAAATACACATCTTCTCGAAAAGTAACGCGCGGAAAATGGCGAGCGAGCCGCCCCGAGGTGGAGAAGAGCGCCCTCGTCCGTCTCCAACGTAATTCTGCAATCCGGACTCGAAAGGATAGCTACTCTGCACGGTAATGGAAGTTACATCCCTTTAGCCGCGGATTCGAGAAGTACGCACGGGGGAGCGGAGAGCTCTCGTTCGACCGGGAGGTCCATGCAACCTCCCCAAGCGAAACGCCACGCGTAAGATCTCGCGGGCCGGCGATATATGATACTTTCTGGTTTACGGGTGCATGGAACGAAAAAACGTTTCCTACAAAAGTTGTGCCTCGTGAGACGACCGAGAACTTTTATGGGAGGCGTTTTCGAGCCCGGTGCCTAAGAGAGGGAGAAAGTCGGACTCGTCCGAGGCTTCGCCCGGCGGGGCGCGACTCGCGCTAGCGCAAACCGAGGGCGAACCGTAACGAAAGGTACGAAAGTACGCGTAAAATCGAACGGACTTATAACACGAGCTGTACAGATTTGGATGTGGCGACGGTGGCTCATTTATAATACACGTCGATAAACGATGGCTAAGCTAGGTCGGGGGGGGGGGGGGGGGTCGAGGGAGAGGTCGAGGAAGGGGAGTCCGGGGGTGGAGGCGAGGGAACGCGGAAGAGTATACATCAGCGGAGTATTAACGATCGGCGAGGGGTATTCGGGGCGATGAGGTGACAAGGCGGACAAGTGGCGGCTTCGGAGAGGTTCGTAGCGCGACGAGAACGCCCGCCCGTCGCGGATAACGAAACGCTTGGCGAGCGCCGGTTCCCCTTTCCTTCGTCGATCATCGTCGATATGTATCGAAGGAACTAGTAGCGCGAGCGAGGGCTCGCGATCGGTGACGACTAAGCTAAGGTACAGCGCGAATCCACGGAAGCTACGCCGGCCGTGGCCCTCGTCGACCGAGCCACGTCCACCGGCGCCGTAACTCGGGGAGGCGCTGCCGGGATCGCGTCGCGGGGCGCGACTTGTGCTGCTAGGAAGCTGACTAGAGTATAGCCTACGGCCGCGAGCCCCGCGGGAGGGGCCCGTCTCGGCCAGGGCTCCGGCAAGATCGGACGCCGTCCGCGTCCGATCCGGCCTACACCTAGGCGTTCGACTCCTTTAGGTTATCGAAGTACTGCATGATCTGCTCGTAATCCATGCCCAGGTTCAGGTCGTCCAGCGAGGTCTCCTCCTGTTCCCGGCTCGCCAGCATCGGGTTGCCCACGATGGTCGCCCTCTTGATCTCTTTGGACTTGTGGTCTCTGGCCCGCTTCTCCTCCCGGTTGTTCCTCGGCTCGACGAACTCCTCCTCGTTGGACCGGGGTACGTCCTCCCGCGTGCCGTTCTCCGCCTTGGATCGGTAGTGGGACTTGGAGTGGTGCTTGCCGTGCCGATGGTTCCCGTGACCGCCGCTGGAGGCCCTGTGGTGGTGCTTCCTGGGGGTCTCCGGGAGGTGGGCGGTGACCCCCGTGTTCCGGTGCGGAGGTACCGGGGGCTTGTAATCCCCGTTGCCGTTGCCGTTGTCGTTGTCGTTGCCGTTTCCGTTGTTGGCCTCGGGGCCGGTGTTTGGCGTCGCGGTCGCCGCCGCCGTCGCCGTCGCCGTCGCCGTCGCCGTCGCCGTCGCCACCGTGGCGGCGATCCCGTGCGGCGGCAGCGGTGGGGGAACGTCCTCGTTGCTGCAATCACGTAAACGCGGAATCGATCAAGCCACGTCCTCGGACCCGGGGATTCCGGAATCCCGAACCGATGGCGGCGGCGGCGACGGACCACTTACTCGTTTCGTGACCCCGACGACGAGACCCTCGGCTGGGGACTCGCCTTGCTGGAGGAGCCGCGCGACGGCGGCTTGTCCTTCTTGCAGTAGGTCGTGGTGTCGATGGGCACCGAGGTGGAGGACCGAACCGAGGGCAGCTCGATGTGATTGGGGTTGTCGAAGCTGGTGCCGAGCTCGGCGGCCTCGTCGTCCGCTTCCCCGGCGAGCGGATTGCTGGTCACGCGCACCTGATCGCAAAGGAGCGTCCGCTAAGTAGGGACTCCGAGGCCCTCGGCTGGGTCTTTCGGAAAAACGAACGAAGGAGGAAAGTCACCTGCTGGGGCGCACAGGCGGCTCGCTCGAGGGTGGCCCTACCGAGCCAGACCCAATCGTGGGCGTTGGTGGTCGACTCCCTGGGTCTCCGGTTTCCCGGAGCCAGCTGGCTGGCCGCGGCTCTGGCGGCTCCGAGGACCGGGATTCCGGGCATCGGCGAGTCCGTGGGCTGGGGCTTGAGCTTGCTCGCGTAGACCACGCAGGAGACGAAGAAGACGACGATGGCGAAGCAGAAGGCCGCGAGCAAGACGTACATCCCGATCTCCAAGGACGTCATGCGCGATCCTCCGTCGTGGCGAATGCCGACGCCGCCCATTCCTCCTGAAGAGATTCCATTAGCTGTACTACCGGGACCCGGCTGGATGGGGTTTCGTCTTTCCGCCGGCACGCCCTTCGCCCGGAAAGTGGAACAAAAGGGGAAGAGGGGACGGCGGGAATCGGAGGATCGACGAACGGAGACGCGCCCTAGCAGAGAAAGAGACCGAGAGGGCGCTACGGAGTCGACGGGTAATTTACCGATCAGGATGTCGTGAAGATCCGGAGCGACCTCCCTCCCGGACTTCCTCTCCCGGTGGGAACCCACCGGTCCGCTTCCCCCTCCTACCGCACCTCCGCCGCCGTCGTTCTGCACGAATTCGGGCCGATTGTGGAGGTCGCTCGAGGCGAAGTCGACCTCGACGTTGACGGAGGCGGTGGCGAGAGGGGCCCCGGGCGTCCTCGGAGAGCCCTTGGTCCTTCTGTTGGGCAGTCGACACGCGTCCGCCAGTTGGAGGGTCACCCGGAGGAAGTCTCCTCGGCCCTCGCCCACGGCGATGACTCTGGGATGGTGGGACGCGACCATTGGGGCGAAGGCCACCACTTCCGGATCCAGACTCTCCACCAGCAGGTGGTAATCGCTCACGGCCACTTCCCTGAGGGGCGTGCGAGTCCCGTCCGAGAACTCGATGTCGATGTCCAGGAGGCCTTCCTGGGATCGGGAGGAAAGAAAGATGCGAGAGATCAGTTCCCGAGACGAGGCGTTCGGATCGAAAACTCGACTCGACCGGAACCCACCTGATATTGCGCGGTCAGTCGCCTGGTGACCGAGGTCTCCGCGACGTATCCGTTCTCGATCGCGGTGTCGGGACTGATGGTCAGCTGCAGTCCAGAAACCACCCTGACCGACAGCCTCGCGATGGACACCCTGTCACTGACGACCCTGACCTCCTTGGCCCCGACGACCCTTCCGGTGATGGGCGACAGGACCTGCACCTCGGTCCTGCCGACCCCTCTGCCCTGTACGGTGCAGCCCTGGAGGGTCGCCACCCTCGGGTCCGACACCCTCAGCAGCCCGATCACGAGATCGGTCACCCTCAGCCAGGTCCTCCGGTTGACGAAGTAGCTGACCCTGCCGGAGTCGTGCCCCGTGGCGACGAACCTCGCGTGGACCTCGACCGGGCTCTGTTGGAATCTCAACCTGCAGTTCGGACCCCGATCTATCGCGTTCCCGGCTCCTTCGTCCCACCTCTCCCCCCGGAAGCGATCCTCCTCCGCGGCGGTCCTCCGCCTGCGTCCGCGTCTCTTCTCCAGAGTCCGGGTGGTCCCGTCCTCGACCTCCGCCTCGTCCTCCACTTCGTCCTCGGTCCCGTTCAGACTGCGCTTGTTCTTGGCGATGGAGTGCTCCTCGGGCACCTTCCAGCCCTTGACCTGGCTCAACCTCGTGTCGGCCACTCCGACCTCCAGCGGGAACTCTGGCATCCACACGGTGAACCTCGCGAGGCCCGAGTAGGTCCCGTACTTGACCAGTACCGAGGCATTGCTGGACCCCTTTATCTCCGAGCCGTCAACGTAGACGCTGCTGCAGGACGACGACACCTGGAATCAGGGATCGATTTTCCTTTCGTCCGTTTCCGTCCCCCCTCTCGAATTATCCCGAGGAGGTGGGAACTCCGAAGGGAACGCGGGACGACGTCTTCCGACGCAATTGGCACGATTACCCGGCAGTCACGAGCGAGTCCTTTGCGAGGGAATCCGCCGGTCCCGACCGGAGCCAGAACCGGGGCCGGCCCTTCCCGGATGCCTGGCTTCTTTTCGGAGACGTTCAACGAACTCCTGGCACACTCGGCCGGGAGCGGGACCGTAAAGGCGCCGTCTAAAATTAGCCTCGACGTAAGAGGCGTTTACGGGAAATTACAGGGCGCCAACCGATCGCGGGATCCCCTCTTCGGACGCGGTCGTTCGCGGATAAAACTAAACGCGTCTCCTATATCTCCCGTCGACTACCCCGGGGTGTAAAATTTCCGACGAGCGACCGCCCCTCCGGACCCGACCGCGGATATCCGGACTCTACCGGCCGGATAAACCGATATCCGGGTATCCGGTTTCCCGGTTTCCCGGATCAACGCGGCTTCCCTTGGGACCGACGCTCCTCCAGGAGACACCCTTCCGCGAAATGGGACGGGACGGAGTTTCGCGATTTCTCGCCCCCGACGCCTCCTGGGGGATAAATTCTCGGTTCTCCGGCTCCCCGGAACTCTGGATTCCCGATCCCCCGACTCGAAAGTCCGGGGCTCGGGGCCCGGAATTTGAGGATCAATTTGCACCCCGGCGAAAATCAATCGGCGGCCCGCGGGGTGGTCTTGGCCGCCTCCCGGCATCTCCCGTGGGACTTCCGACAATTTCAACCAATTTCGCCCGCGCACCATTGCCGCGGATATATCGCGAAATATCGTCCGGGTTTCCCTGGGATTACTCGAATCCTTTCATTCCCGGGGCGGCTCCTCTCCGCGATTTTTCCGCGGCGGAGAACGATTCCATTTCGCGAGGACCCCCGCAGCGTCGTCCAGTGGAATGTCTTTACGGGGTGCTTTTTAAAAACGACGGCTCCTGACGGGGACTCGACGCACCGCCTCGTCCTCTCGCGCGGAAATGGGCGAAACTTCGCATCTCGATTAGCGCGAGACCGCGGAAAAATCAACTCCGCGATACTCGGCCACTGCATGCATAATTTACGAGCGGAATTTGCAAGTCGCCGCTTCTTGCGAGACGCTAATAAATCCCGGCCCGACCCATTTGGCCCGTGGTCCAAAATGGCCGGCGCCTACCTACCTTGAGGACGCTCTCGTCCTCCGAGTGGCAGGACGACTGCAGAGTCACGTCGGCCACCTTCCCGGCCTGGCTGACGATGAACACCTTCATCGCCTGGGACACCTGCCTGCCGGTCAGCACCGCGGTGTTCATCACCTCCCAGTTCTGAAACCGCCCCCGGAGATGTAAGTCCTTTAGAAATATGGAAACGTGCGTGTCGGTGGAGGGATCGCTTTTCCTTCGGAATGGGCCCAGACTCCGCTCGAGGCGGGATGAAAAATTAATCCGTAATCTATTTCTGGGATGAATTCCCCCTCTCCTGGGGGTGCAAGGACTTATACGGAAAAAAATTCCGATAATACGCGATCCAGTTTAATATGCACTTTACCCCCCGCGGTCCCTTCCAGAGCTCATTATCGGGGTTTTACTCCGCATCGCGCGGCATGCTCCCACTCGGAAGGGGATTCATAATTTTAAATGAAAACACATTGGGATGGAACGGAACGAAGCGAACCCCCGTTTGCGCTCGACGATAAATCTCCCGATTTCTTTCATCGGCCGGTCGGAAAAAATGTCCCTCTGTCGCAGCAGGCGACGCGATTTATTAGAAGGAATCGAGGATCGACTTGCCGAGGCAAATCGCCTCGGTCTTCCAGGACCAGAATCGAGTTAACGAAAGTACGCTCGATTTACGCCACGATACTTTAGCAGACTTTTGATACTCCGGCAAAAAGCTACCGGGACCGGAGGTGGGGCCAGGAGGTGAGCGAATCGGGAGAAAGGGGAGGACGAGATAATTTCTCGGGCCCTAATTTTCACTTCTTTCTCAAGAAACCTCCGCGGACGTGCGGACGTGCGGGCGTACGTACGTAGGATGACAAAGGAGAGGCACAAAGAGAGGGAAAAGTTTTCGAGAAGAAGAAAGAAATCCCGGCGGAAAATTTCGAAAGTATTTTCAATTGGACGACGGAAAGTCTCGGCTATTTTCCCCGGACACTTTTCGGGTTTCATTCGAAGAAGCGAGCAGTAGCATAGATATATCCTCGAGTTATAACGCGGGGCACGGAATTCTTTCGACGACTTCCGCGTTTCTCGTCTCGGACTCGTAGCGGCTTCGATCGCCTTGAGTAAATCCGAAAAGGCGATCCGCCGGCTCCCTCTCCGACCATTAACTTAATTGGTCGGAGAGGCCCTCGAGATTCGAGAGCGATGCTCTCGCTGCAAATTTCGGAACAGCCCCGGGCTCCGAGAGTTCGCTCGGCGGATAGTTTCGCACGTTCGAGCCGAAGTCAACGTCGACCGATGATACCCACGGCACGGAACTTTGATAAGGGATGAAAGAAAGGAGAGTATCCAGGAGAAGGGAAGTTCACGTTCGGCTCGCATCGCCAACGAGGACGCAACCGCGCCCCGGAGCGGACGCTCGAGGTCCAGGCTCGATTAAAAGACCGAATATACTCTCTGAAAGTTCAACGTTTGCCCTCCCCGGGTGGACCAACGGACTCGTCCCTGTTCCCGTTTCCGTCCGCGATTCGTGAGTCCCTAAAAGTGTCCGCGGCGGGGGTCGAAAGACGCCCCTTCCCGCTAATCGGAGTCCCGGGACACGGCCGAGGTTGCGGTGTCGAATCTGCGCAGTTGCGAATTAAAATCTCCATTATTCTCGACTGGCCGTTGGGCGGGGTCTCGCGGCGGGGTCTCGCGGCGGGGTCTCGCGGCGGGGTCTCGCGGTGGGGTTTCCGGGCGCGAGTCGAATTCGACGTTTCCAATCAACACGGGCTCCGTATCGATACGCCACATCGGTATATCCGGTAACAACGTTTTCCCGCAGGTGCGGGGGGTTGCGGATGTACGAATGCAAGGGATATCGCGTGCACGCCGACCGGTAAAGGGGCCGAAACCGGGACCTGGAGAACGCGCGGTTATTCCCTGCCTCTTCCCCTCCCCGAACGAGACGCGTATCGATATACGAACGCTTCGGTGAATTATGTTATTTTTCTTGCTTTTTTTCCCTCGGTCCTCTCGCCGGCGCTTTTTTCATGCGGCCCCCGACGCGCTCGCCGGGGATGCGAATAATTTTGTGAAATAGACCAACAAGGAAGGAAAAAAACCACCCTCGCGGTTCCCCTTCCCCCGGAACCAGGAATTTACTGCCGCTCCCCCTGGAGATACGTCGCGGATCTCGTCGACGTACCCGTGGAAACGATGTGCGCCTCGCCCGGGATCCATGGATCCGAAATGCCGCGGTCTCCGCATTCCGCGGAATTCGGAATTATTTCCTGGATCTCGGCGCCTTTTTATGGATTAATGATCGGTGCGGATTTAACTTGGGATTAGTGCCTAAAACGCGTCGATGCGTCCACTGGCAGAGGAACGACCTAACGAGGCCGAACGTAACGGAAAATGATCGGAAGGCGATCGGGCTCGAATTCGGCTCGTTTCCCTTCTATCGACGCAGAGGAAGGAAACTGCATAATGCATCGGCTTCATTAGCCGAGTACAGCTGCCAATAATTAATTCGTCGTTCATTAACGAGTGCCCCTTTCCGAGCCGCGTTAAGCGCCGATTATTGGCCGCCGTAACGTTAAGCGAGTTTAGGAAAACCACCCTTGCGACCGGGGGTAGCAAAACTGGGGGGTTACATAGAAAATTGCTGACTTTGTTAATTGTGAAAATTGGCTGCAACCATAAATCACTATTTTCCCTCGAAACGGGGGTACGGAGGGCGAGGCTAGCCATTCGAGGGTGGTTTCGAGAGGTTGGCGAGGTCCCGGCAATTACGAATCGACGAAAGGTCGGTACCCGGGGGAGGTCGGGGGCAAGAAAACGCGGGAACCCCTCGCACCCCGACGCCGATGTTTCTGCCGCAGCCCCGGCTTAATGGCCGCACTAAATCCCGGCGACGACACGGTCCAACTTCCAAGTTGGACCAACTAGACGCCAACTGGTACACCCTGCCAGTGGGCCGAGTTATCGCCCGGGCGCAAAGTCCCCGGAACTTCCCTAATTGCCCCGCGGCGCGTTACTCGAGAAACGAGCGGAAAAAGAAGTTAACTCGGGGGTCGTCCCGTCGCAGGGCCGCCGGATCGAATCCGGCGGAAATCGCGCGGAAGAATCATCGAACAACTCTCGGTGGTCGGCTCGGTCGGTGGCGCCTGGACGGCACCAGGCCCGAAAATTGCACCGATGCCCGCGGTTTTTCTTTCTCGGGAAAGCATTTGCCCCTAAAAACCGCGAGCGTTCCACAACGGACAGGCCCGCCGGTAGCGTTAATTATTATTAATCCGACGCGATTACGCACCCGCGGCAGTCGGTACGCAGGCCGGAGGCGGCTTTTAAAGACGATCTCGGGCACGAGGGGTGCGTGCACGTATGGATTCCAGAGGGAGAGGAGCCGTAAACCATGCGACCATAAACCGTAGCCCATAAACCACGAATCCTGTCGGCGACCGGGCGCAGCCATTAGCGTCGCCGGAGGACGACAAAACGGGATCCTGGCCCCTGGAGGGGGTCCCAAGGGCGACGCCAGGTTCTCGGGCAGGGGTACGAGGGCGCGCCCCTCGCCGGGTAAATAATGCAGGGCGAACGGGCTGCTCCATCATTCAGGAGGCCCGGCGCATCCGGAGCGCGCCAAAGGTGAGAGGGTTAAATCGGAGTCGACTCGGCCCGGGTCAGGGACCGCGGACTCCTCGCGCCCCAGCAGAGCGGAACGACCCGGGCCCGTCGACATTCCCTCGGCAAGTTGGACATTCATCCCGCGGGAGACGGAACGAGTCGCTTTAACGCGCGTCGCCGAGTGTCGTCGCAGAGAGTCGTCGTCGAAGCGGGAAACGCTCGAAGGGGCTCTGGCTCGCGAGGACCCTCAAATCCTTAAAAAGGAAGAACCGGGACTCTTCTCCGGGAACGAGGCGAGGAGGGCCCGAGGAAGCTTAATTAAAAACTTGGTTCCTCACCTCGGCTCCTCCGAGCGCGCGAGACTCCCTGGCAATTACCTTACCGGATAATCAAGAAGCTCGCCGAGTTCCTGCCAAAGTTCCGCCAGGCGCGCCCTTCAAAGGAATATGTAAGCGAATTAATTAACTAATTAATTAATTAGCGATTTCCTCAACCCCGCATTCCCCGGCGGGAGGTATCGCGACTTGCCCGGCCCGAGAGAGCGATACTTTCCGACACCGACGAGATCGCTGTTTCTTGGCGCCCCAACCGCCGAGAGGAGCGCGAGGGATGCCCGCTCCTCGCTGGAAATCTTCCCTCGAAATCTGCTCCCGACGAGGCGCCGGAAGGATTCGATCGCCGGGGTTTCGAGAATTTACAGCCATTAATATCGCCAGCCCGGTGGGTGGAATACGAGGGGTGGGGATCGCGAGCATAAATGGAGCGACGTCGTCGGCCGAAGTAAATGGGGATAAGCCCTGCAAACTACCCCTTCGACCTTTCCTTTCGCGCCCGACCTCCGGGGTTCGAACAAATGAACCTATCCGTCGCTTTCTGGCCCATCCACCAAGAACGGCCTCCCCCCGACCCTAGGAATTTTTAATATCGGCCACGGTAGAGCACTTTTGTTGATAGAGGAGACGAATCCCGACTCTTCCGCCGCCCGATCGAGTCCGTCGATCGCGATCGATCTCATCCCCGTCCCGCCCCGGTGCCCGCTTCGGGCTCGGATCGCCGATAACGAATTAAACCCGCTTGATAAAGCTCGGGTTCCTTGGTCGGCCGCCTCGGTGCCGTCCGTCCTCGCGGTACCTTCCGGGGGGTAAGAGGTGCATCCCGATCCTCGTAACCCCGGCAGATACCTTGATGTAAAGAAATTCAGCGAGGTGAACGTCAGGATCCCGAATGCCTCGCGACCGGTCGGGGGCGCGCCGATAAAGGATTCGAGCTATCGCTCGCCCCCGGCGTTTCGATAAATGACTCGGTGCATCCCCCTCGGATCGGAGTCCGTCCTTGTCTACCGTTTCGTTCGAGCGCCCTCGAGGTCTCCGTCTATTCGGTAACCAAACCCGAAAGGCTCCCTTAGGTATATATCACCCGGGTACATGGCGCACCTGTAACCCGGTAACTACGTAGCCATGTACCCGCGTAGTTTACCGCGAGCTTTCGAGACCCCGGAGCACGAATCATCGGCCGACTCTCCGATATCGGGCTCATGAATACCATAGAGGCGCCCAAAGGATCACTCGTTGCATCGCGCGTCGCCCTCGCCCTCGCCCTCGCCCTCGCCCCCCTGCACGCCCCGTCCCTCGAGATCGTCGATCGCTCGATCCCGGCTCCGTCGGCTCTCGTAAACCGAGCAATCGAGTTCCTTCCTCGATCGGGGGATGATTCGTGAGGTTTTAGGTGGCCAGGGTGCCGGAACCCGGATGGCGTCGACGTACCCTGGGATCGCGAAAGTTGCGAAGGTGGATCCTGCATTTCGATGAACCCGTGCCAGTCCTACCGGAGGACCGTGAGTGCGACTTGGAAATGAATGCCCTTGTCGTCGCGCGGTCCTCCTTCGGATTCATCCGGGGTCGCGTCGTAGTCGCGTCGTAGCCCCCATCGTCCTAACCCACATAGAATGCTTCGATTTCCTTCTTCCTGACGTTCCATTATTGGGAAAAAAGTTTCCGACTCGGGAAAGCCGGAAAGGAGACGTCAGAAATTGGGGGTAGTTCAGAGATTACCCAAAATCTGACCCCCTTGCCGGGTTCTGGGTCCAAGGGTGGTCTTTCCGCGCACGTGCGGTACTTATTTACGAGTTCACGGGAGGAACCGAAAGCCCGGAAAGAAACGCCGTCTCTCCCCCTGGAATCGACCCTCCGTCGGTTCCATCCCTTGCAGGCGCCGCCCCGAGGGGGGATCGCGGGGGGTAACGAATCGCTCCAACCCCCGGCACGTATTCGTTCTATCTCTCGGGCTCGTTGTCCTCCATCTTGGCCTGTACCGAAATTACCGCGACCCCCCACGAACCTCTTTCCAATTTTCCACCTTTCGCCTCGCACTCTTAAGAGGAGTCGAGCTATTTTGCTTTCGCCTTAACTAACTGCTCCCGCGGTCGTCGTAACTCTTTCCCGCGGTATGTGTAACCCCCGATGAACCGGTCACCGGGGGAACGACGTTTCCAAAATCAACGAATATTCATTCCCTTTTACGTTCACGCCCGTAACCACCCCGCGAGAGCCCCGACATTTCGCGCGCCCTTTACATCCACCCACCACCCCCTGGACGCCGAGGGTGGACGCCGATGCTTCGAATCTCGCCTCTGGCCCGAATTTCCTTTCCCGGGGTGGAAATCGATCGATCGCAATCGGCACCGACTCCAAATCGAATTCCGGCCGGGATTTCTTTCCCAATTACGAGATCCGAACTCGTATCGCAAGTCGTAAATAATAATGCACAGATTGCGGGTTTACGGGAGACAGGGGAGGGTATCGCCGAATTCGGGCATGATTGCGGTGATACGCCCGCGCGTTCGGAATTCCGTACATATTTCCGGTATACGCGAGCACCGCACGTCCGAACGGGGTGCACGAGTCGAAAGGGGCGGTTTTAACGCGGAGAATGGAGAATATTGAAAAATATCGATAAGGCGCCCCGGCGAAGAGCCGACGTCGGTCGCAGCCGCCGCGACGACATCTCGACGTATAAATATGCTAATGGGTAATTCATCCCTCGCGAGCACGAACTCGGGGGCGGCTTCGAGTCGATTCGCCGCCGCGAAAATCTTTACTCGCGATGATCGATCACCTTGGAGGATTCGGGAGATCCCACCGAGGTCGAAGGACTCCGAGTTTCGCCTTTGTACCGGGAACCCAAATCGCTGCTGCACCACCTCTCGGGGGTCGAGTGAGAAGTTCCGGCCGGGGTCGTCCATCATCGGAGACGCGAAATCCACCCCGGTCTTTAGGCAGAGATTAACGGAAGAAGCGTTCCTATCGCGGTCAGAAGTTCTCGGATGTACGCCTCTTTCGAGGGTGGGAACGCATCGCGGGAGTCACCGGAGAGGGTGACAGCAACGATGCGGACGAAGACGAAGAGCCGTGCAAGCATGCGCAAACTATTTCCGGAGCACTCGGACGGTATTCCCCTCCGTCCACGCACCCCCCTGGCACCTCCAGCGAGAGGGCGAGATGGAAATGGGGGTGGAGAAAAAGCGAGAGGAAGCACCGGAAACTATTTGCTCGGCCGAGATAGATACCAAGGGTAGATGTACGAGAAGGAATCCACGGTTTTCGATCTCTCGGAAAAGCACCCCCGAAACCCTGAAGAACCGAGTCGCTCCCCACTACTCCCTCGTTGAATCGAGGCCTACTCTTCCGTAACGTTCGTTTCCGTTACGTTCGCCAAGGGATGAAAGGAGAGGAAAAACACGAGCTCCATAAGAATCTAGGGTGTGCGCGAGCCATCCTCGAGGCGCGAAATAATCCTTATCCCTCTGATATTTCCGACGGTCTCGCCCTCCCTTCGAATGCGTTAATTTCCGCGGTAGGCGTCGCATTCTTCGATTACTCTCCCCGGCGATGGCGCGTCCCTGGGGTGGAATTCCCGCTTCCGGCGCACCTTTCGCCCCCGGTCGATCGCAGCACCCCCGTCGGACGTTTCGGGATCGCGAACGAACGCTCTCTCGAAAACCGGGAAGGGAAGTTCCGCGGAATTTTTCATTTCGCCCCGAGAGACGGGGGACGGGGCGGTCCTCCGCGAGGAAGGGTCGCAGGCCGAGAAACTTGGCTCCTTTAAGCGAGGACTCGAACCCCCTCCGCTCCTCGCCTCGTTAAGCCCCGACACGAGTTTCGGTTTCCAGGGCGCCAAAGAACCCCCACACCCGGACACCCGGTTACGGCGTGCCGCGACTCGCCGCCACTTGGGCGGTGTGAAGCCACCCCTCCCCCGGTCAACCCTTACCGAAGTTTCTTCGAGAACGTTCCGTCCTCGGTGAAACGAAAGAAAGAAAATTAATTCGGTCGGCCGATATCCCCCGGGGAAGGTCCCCGTGCGGAGGTGGAACGCAATTCGCGATTCCCTGTCCCTTTTGCGCGTCCGCCGGAAGGTTCCTCGAGGAAGGAAAAATTGAGGAACGCCGCCCTCACCTTGGATATCGGGAGGACCGCCTGGATGTCGTCCTTCTGGATCTCCAGCCTCGCCTGCAGCTTCCTCCTCTCCACGTGGTGGTGGTGATGGTGCTGCTGCCCGATCGGAGCGGACCCGGCCGAGGAGACGTTCTCCTCTTCGCCTTCCAACAAATAGCGGACGCTCCACACGATCCGACCACTGTCCCAGCTCCCTCCGGCGTCCTCCTCGCTCGCCTCCAGCAGCATCGTCAGGATCTCCTCCGCGGACCTGCAACCGAGTCCCTCCGTTAGACGAGAAGTTTCCGGCCGCTCGTTCCTCCGGCCGCCAAGGAGATCTTCGGGAAGGAGGCGGGGATCTGGGTCGCGGTCTGGACTTCCAGGACGAGGTGGGCCAGAAATGGGAATACTGGCGACACGAGGAATCCCTGTCCCACCTCGACTCGCGAACGCGACGTAACTGCGTAATTACGCGTAACGACTTTCGGACGAGCAATTTCAAGACAAGAGCCGGTCCGTTTCGGGCGTTAAACGGGAACGGCGGAGCGTGTTTGGCCGCGGGCTTCTTTTTGGGACGCCCGGAGCGGGAAATGCGGTTAGCGCCGTTCGTCGCCGATTTCGGGATTCCGAGCCGGAAGAGCGGATAGTCCGGGAGCAATTAGACGGATAAGTGAAGTGCGACTGTACACGTCGGCGAGTAGATTGAATTACGATGTAAATTCGCACCCCCGGCGTCGTCGAGCCCATAATTCCGAGTCGAGTGACACCCGACGTCGATCCGCCGTCGGGCCCGCCGACGGATTTCATTTCCCCGGGTAAATAGACCTCGGAAGTCGCCAGCTCCCGATTCCGAGGGTCCTTGGCTTCCTTTTTCCTCCCCCGCGCCCTCCTCCTGCTTTCCAGGAGGAAAAAATCCCCATTCTCTGCCGGGACGGACTTGATTCCACGTAATTCGTCGAGACCTCCCTCCGAGTCGTCACTTTTTCGGAGAGATTCCGGGAAATCAGTCCACTCGTTCCACGGGAACAAGAAGAGGGTCAGCCAAAATCTTCAGAAGTTTTCTTTCGTCATTTTCGTAACGACGATGACGGCGGGACATTCGGAGATTCTACCGTTTGACGGTTCCGCGCGCGCCCGTTCTGGTCGGCGGTTTTCCGCAGCACGGAACGAGGAGGGCGGGCGCAACGCCGCGATTATTTAGCGATTACAAACGAATTTAACGAGCAAGGGTCGCCGCGACGCCATCAGGGCGTTAAATCGCGGCTTGATGCCACCTCGTCCCTGCTTTTGATCCGCTTAAACGCTCGCGAATTCAACGCGCCGAGTTGCGGCCGCTGGAAAAGTCGGAAAAGTCGGAAAAGTCGGACAACTCGGGAAACGGGAGCGTAACGAATTACGCCAGAGGATAACGCGAAAATGTTTGGATAACGGACCGACCGCGCGCCTCCGCGGGGGCCACGGGCTTCGGGGACGGATCGACGACGTCGGCCATTTAACCGGCAGCGGGATGCGGAAAGGAGGCTCGGCGAGTTCCCGGGAGCTCCAGGACGCCCGGAAAGCTCGGTGCTGGCCAATTTGTGTTAAGGGGTCGCTCGGGATTTCAACTTTTCCGGGAAGATCTCGCTTGACCGTCGTTTCGTTCTCTCCTCGGTATCCCGGGGCCTCTTCGGAGACGCGGGCTTCGACGTTAACGATCCCTTCCCGGTGTCCCGACCTCTCGACGGAGGGAGAGAGAAACGAGGAGTCGGCAGAATTCGAGAAACGGCAGTTTCGCGGGGCGATCGATCGCCGATATCCGATAGCCATTACTTCCGTGGCGAATGCGTCAGCCAATCCTGCCTTTCGATCCAATAAAAGTAAACACGCGCAATCCGAGCTCCTCTTCCCGCCTCCGTTCACCTCGCCTCCAATCGATCTTACTTTTTGCTCCTCGCTTTTCGCCCGACAACTCCCAAAATCGAACGGCGCGACGCGCCGCGACGCGCCGCCGTTCGACCATTTCTCCCATCGGCGGAGACGGGGCAGAATTCTAACAGACTTCGGGCGGACGGAAGGGGAAGGGCTGCGTACTTCGTTTAACGGAAACGACGACGTTTCCAAGAGCCGTTCGTGGAAGAAAATTCTGCTTGATTTCGGCCGAATCTCGTCGATTAAACGTACCTTAAACGGCCCGTTAATCTCTCAACTTGGAAATTTCGTCGCTTAACGGAAGTCTTATCGGCTTCGCCATTCTCCTCGGACCCCGAGACTTCGAGGGTAAATGGAAAAAGTTCGAGACATGGATTCGTTATTTCGTTCCTTCCGAACGTCTACCCAACTCGGAGGAAAATGGAGAAGATTCGGGGAAGGTCCCGGTCCGGAAACCGTATCGGCCGAGTTGGCGTCACCGCGGGCTCGTTGTTCCGGCGTTAATCGGCCATTAATCGGCCGTTAATCGGCCGTTAATCGATCGCTAACGATCGTTAAGCGGCGCCGACGCGATCCGGACGAGCGGCTCCGGCTCGGGGCAAGTTGCGGAGCGGCTTTATCAGCGGCGGTTTCCGGCGAGGTGTACTTCGTTACCGTAATCGGCCCCGGTTGCGGCGCCGGGTGCAACGCGTGCATCTACTTTGCATCCCTCATTAGCCGGGAGAACTTGCACCCCCGGCAGGTCCCGCAACTTTAATTATGCACCGAAACGATACAATTCCAGGCGGATTATCTCTCCCGAACGCGCCTGGTCGAACGGCCGCTCGAAGTCCGCGTTTGCGTCGCCACTCGCCCGACTCGTTCTTTCCCGCGACCCTAGGACCTTCTTTCTCGTCCGGAATTCATCGACCATCGATCCTCCTGGATCTCCAGGTCGAAGGCGCGAGGTCAGGGCCAGGGGTCGGTCCGGAAAAGCGAGACGCCGCTTCTGCGGATTCGGGTAAATCTCTCGTTCCAAGAAAGCGCGACTTCCGACGTGTAGCCGTAATCTCTGGTCGGAGATATCTCCTCCGGCGCCGCGGCGGTCCAGCGGCTTCTCCGACCGCCGATAACTCCTGACGCCCGATAAGGCGCTCTCGGTATAAATAGGCATCGCGAGCGGTTCCCAAACAGTGACTCCGAGTGTTTCCTGGTGCACGATGGACCTACACTGGCGATTGGCGTTGCTGCAAGTCGTGCTGGCGGTGTTGCTCAGCGCCGGGACGGAGAGTTTTCCTACGGACGAAGTCGTCGGTACTACCACGGACGACCAGGGCTTGGAGTCACCTCGGGAAGTCGCCAAGAAGAGCAGCGAGTCCTCCGAGTCCGGCAGCAGCTCCGAGGAGACCGCCATTGTGGGGAAGAAGACGACTCGCTCGGTATCGGAGAACCAGCTCGCGGTGGGTCAGGATTCCTCGGACACTTCCGAGACCAGCGAGGAGAAGGATCAGGGTCAGGGAAAGAGGACCGGGCGGTCCATCAGGCGTGGCACTAAGAACGACGACGACGACGACGACGACGACGACGACGACGACGACGATGCTCACGGGAAGGGAAGGAAGGAGAACAACGACTGCAGCAGCAGCAGCAGTTCCTCGGAGAGCAACGACAAAGGAAGAAACGGAAACAAGTGCGATGACGACGAGGACGACGACAGTGGGAAGGACTCCAAGAGGGGAAAGCATTCCAAGAAGTCCAAGAGTCACAGGAAGAGCAAGAAGGATGACGACGACGACGACAGCAACAAGAAAAAGAAGAAGAAGGACGATGACTGTTCTTCTTCGTCCTCCTCTTCGTCCTCCGACGAATCCGGGAAACGAAAACGCAGGAGCCTCCTAGGATTGTGGTGATCGGGATGTCGGGAAGGTGTCATCGGAAACGTCGTCGATTCGTCTCGCCGAGTGACGAGATATTGAAATTGTAATCGCCTCGCGCCGGAGCGGGAAGTTAGCAAATACATGTATAGTTATTTTTCTAAATCCCGTTTGGCCCCGAGTTTTCGAGGAGAAGTAAGAAAAAACTCACGTGCTGGGAGGTCTGGAAACGTTCTCCTTGCGTCTGGCCGTAAACGTTGCCACGGTGTTCTTCGGGTTTATCAGCGACTCCACGGTCCAGTCCACGCTGCTCGACGAGGCGTCCAGGATTTTCACCCCCGACTTCACCCTGGCCCTGCAAGCAGAGGAGAATCGATCGAATCGACTTTTCAAACCGAATGCGAAAGGGTCGTAAGCGCGTCGGCGGCCAGGGCGGTCAAGGATGCGCAACCGGCGATTTATCCTTCCACCGAATTACACGAGTCTTTACTTAAAAATTCGGGGGGTGGAGCACCTGTCGCGCGAACGGGCAATTTCCAGGCGGAGAGGCATTCTCGGGATTAATTAGGGGGAGGATTCTCATCGGAGGGAATTAATAAATGGCGCAAAGGTAAGGGTCTCGGGGCGCCCTTAAGCGGCGCTCAACGGCCGTCGTAATTCCCGGCGTTTCGCGAATAACGAGCAAGTTCCGTTTACAGGGCCGGCGACGAGCCGTCGTTTCGATATCCTTTGTGCTCCGGTGTACGCGCGCTCGCACGTACCCGCCGGCCCGGGCGGAAAGTGCTTTCTCATTTGATTACGCTCTTGAAAATCCATTACTAACGATTGCACCGACCTCGAGCACGTCGCGGCCCACTTTCCGGGCCCGATGACGAGGCCGCCGCCGGTTCGGTCGAGCGTTTTTGCCGGGGAACGACTTTTCCCGCGCGAATCTCTTTGCATCGCGCATCGGGGTCCCGCCGAGCTAATTTCGTTCCGGCGCGCCGGCACAAGAGAAAAAGAACCCGGAACGCCGATGCCCCTCTTGCCGAGACAGGAGAGAAGAAGGGTCCGTCGATCGTCGAAGGCGTCTAGGCTCGTGTTCGCGCATCTAGGGCGCGTATCGGAGATCGAAGGAGGTCCACGGTCCAGATACGCGCCCCCCGAGGTCAGAGGAGCCGATAGCGGCGGCAGCGCGACGCCGTTCGCCAACGTCATCGCGGACGAGATCTCTCGTAGATCTCGGTCGTAACCGCGTTAACCGGCGAATGCGCCCCTTGACCCTAGGCACAACGTCGGAACGGAGGTTCCATTCGTTCAAATTCGAGAATGGGTATCCAAGATTCGTGGACGACGACGACCACCCTGGATCGACCCCCCGTTGAAAGCTGCCGTCGCGTATGCCGCCGTCATCGATCCGCTCCGGGTAGAAACGTTTCAGCATACGCTGCGGAGCTCGAATGCACCTATGCGCGTACGTGCCCGGGTAGTTGCATAATAAATGCACTCGACGTCGATCGGTGACGCATTCGCATCTGTCTCCGGTAGGGGAGCGCCCGGCGAATCCCTGGGGCTCGTGCGAAGGAATTCCAGGATCCGCAGGGACGCGTCGCTCCTGCCGAAGAGAGGAATGCATCTCGACGCCCCTCCGCGATTCCGCGTCCCGAGATCCCGATTCGCTCCTCCAAAGACTGCCTAACGAGAGCGGTCGTCGAGAGTTCGCCCCGGCGCTTGTCCGACGACACCAGGGGGGTCCTCGAAGCTTCCACCCTTCCGGTCTCCGGGCACGGTAACGACTCGCTAACTCCCTTATAAGCGTCGGCCACTTTTGGATCCCCACCCTCGGCGGCGAAAAGTTTGCTCGTGAAGCGAGAAACTTCCACCCCGTCGAGAGTCGAGGCCGCCACCAATTTCGGATCGAGATATTCAGAAATTAAGGGACGTTTCCAAGACGAGAGACTTCCCCTTGCGATTTGCGGAAAACGCTCCTGCGTAAGTCCCGGGTAACGACCCCGCGCGAAGGAGTTGGCGGAGGACTCTTCAAAGGGATTTTCTTCGGAGGCGACCGTTACGTGGAGGGAAGGACCCAGAGGAATCTCGAAGGGGGCTCCGACGACCCGAATCGCTAAATTTCAACTTTAGAATTCGAAGCGCCTTAAGGGTGCAACTGGAATCAAGCAGTCGAAGCGCCTCGAGGGTGGACGACCCCCGGACGAGACCATTATGGAGGGCAAAAGGACCCGGCGAAGGAACCTCGAGGAGGCTGCCGTGATTTAAATCCCGTCGTTCCGCTCCCGATTTAAATTTGAATATTAAAGCTCCAGGAACGGTCAATTCGAGGGCCCACGGGGACGAACCGAGAGGCTTCTTCGAGGTCCACTCGGCTCCTCCAGGGGTGTCGGCGGCGAAACGGGCGCCTTCGTTCTCTTCGGGGAAAGGACGCCCCACCTCCGGAGGAGGGGTGCACGTCGGCCCGAAGAAAAATGGGCGCGGACAAAACGCGCGAAGTGCATCGCGGCGCCCTCCCCGGGCATTAAGCGTCCCCTCGTCCGGGAGGGAAGACGTCCGATAAGCGCGGGGAAGGGGGAGGGCAGGAAATTGAAAAAGCCCCGAGGAGGAGCCACCCCTTGGCTCGCGAGTGCAAACAGCGGCCATGGCCATCCCTTGCGCTCGGTCGATCGCCGACCGGGGTGGGTGCCCCCGATTAAAATAATTACGCGACGCGTCGACTCGTTTCCAACGCAAAGCCGCGGAGCGGAGTCGAAGGGTCGGTCCAGGATCTCGGTCGGAGTCGGCGTTCCTCCGGTGGGCTCTCGACGGCAGACGATGGCGAAGGGAGATAAAGGGAAAGGGAAGAGGCACAGGGAGCGACCCGAGAGCGGCGCAATTACCGAGTGGACGAGGCTCGGCGCGGATATTTCAGCTCGATCGCGTCGTTTACATGCAAATTGCCGATCGATATCATCTCCCGATGTTGCCCGGGCCTGACGGCCTACTCCGGCGCTTCCATATTCCGTCGCGCGGCCGTTGCCCGTCGACTCCGAGCCATTTACGGCCCGCCTCTACGACACCTTCTCGCCCTTTCGTTCGATCTTCCCCCTTGGCCCCGCGACCGGACACGATTCTCTTCCGGTTCTTCCGGTTCTTCCGGTACCCCCCGGAGGACGAGGAGGTCCGCTCGCGCCATTCGCGGAGACGTTGTCTCCAAGATCGAGCCGTCTATTAAATCCCGGGTTAATCGATTCCCCGTGGCGTCCCGGGGGCACGCCTCGTTCCCGACAAATCACCGGGAGCGACCGGGAGCGACCGGGAGCGACCGGCAGCCGTTGGCGCTCGGATAGGACGAATTAAAGGGGCGACGCGGATTACCGAAAGCCGGAAACGCGCCGGAAGCCCGATAAACGACGGCGTCGCGGTTTCCATCCTTATCCAGTCCCGCGCTCTGGCGGACGAGGTCCGAGCCGTCGATCGACGTCGGATCATTCGAACGCGTCGAAATCGCGCGGATCCCCCGGTAAGCGAATTTTGGACGTTTCCGGGAACGGGGTAAAGGCGGCGGAGAGCAAAGAGCAAACGCTTCCTCCTCTCTCTTCCCTCGGCTCACCTGAGGACGACTCCCGCGACGGGGACCCCCTGGGCGCCGGGCGGATGGAGGAAGACCGGGACGTGCAGCCTGGACCTGGGGTACAGCGGCCCGTGGGGCACCAGCAGGGTGAGGAACTCGTCGTTCCGGAGCTCCTTGTAGGCGGACTTGTTGGGCGTCAGCGGCACCTGGCCCAGGGGAGTGACGGGCTGGATCTGCACCCTGGGCTGGCAGCCGCCGTCGGTCTCGGTCCGGGGCTCCAGCACCGAGTAGGCGACCTGCACCAGCCGGGGCAGCGTCTTGACGACCTTGACTCTACCCGACGCGTCCGGCGGCGGCAGGGGGGCCCACCAGGTGGCGGGGACGGTGATCTGGGCCAGGCACACGCCGTCCTCGCCGTCCGGGCTGCAGGCGGCCGTCAGGGGGTTCCTGCCGTTGAGCGTGGCGTGCAGGACCACGCAGACCCTCTGGTGTCTGGTGACGAGCACCTGCCGCCTGCCGCCCGCCTCGCTCCCGGCGTGGAAGAGGACTCGCAGGACCGGCGAGTCCCGAGGGACGCTCGGTCGGACCAGGTGGGCCGACATGTCCAGATGTCGAGAGCCCAGCTCCTGCGCGTCCAGCAGCGCGGCCGTCGAGGTCAGGTTGCGCCGCACCTCGGGCCCCGGCAGCGCGTCCAGGGGGTCGGGCACGATGTACCTGGCCGGCACGGTCTGCTTCGTGCTGAAGGGCCCGTAGGTCGCCCTCACCGAGGCCGGCTCGCTCGTCTGGAAGACGGTGAACTTGTCGGTGGACAGGACCGACCCCGGTGGGCCCGGGCCGGGCGCCAGGACGGGCGGCGGCGGCGGCGGCGGCGCCGCCGCCGCCGACGTCTCCGGCTGCGAAGGGTAGTACTGCCGAGGCGTGTGTTTCAGGAAGAAGCCGCCATCCTTGTTCTCGAAGTGGACCTCCACGGACGCTGCCACCCCTGGAACCGGAAACGGGACGCGGTTAGTAACCGGGACGTCCAAGAGTTCCAAGCTCCTAGTCTCGCTCCGAGCAATTTGCCGACCGCCTCCGACCGCGGCAAACAGCGATTTACCTTCGAGGAGGGCCAAGTTCCGGCCGAGGTCCGGCCGAGGTCCGGCCGAGGTCCGGCCGAGGTTCCGATCGAGATGTGCGTCGCTCCGACTAGCCGTGCCGAGGTTCGACCTCCCCGAAAAAAAGTCCTATCCCGCCCGCTGCTCCCGACAGGAATCGAATCGGCGGCGTCGAATGAATGGGATTAATTAACGCACCCGTCGGCGCCACCTCCGTCGACCGACACCTCGAGGTGCCAATTACGACTCGGGGCGCGCAGTTCCCAACTTTCGAAGACATCCGGGAGAAGGGCGGAATCGTGTCCGGGCAGTCGGAAAGCCGCGAGCTCTGGTCCCGAAAACGGAGGATCGAGGCGCGCTCCTTCGGGACTTCTGCCCGGGGTATTTATAATTAAAGATAGCCGCGGGGGGCGTCGGGGGTAATTGGATCTCGAAGCGAAGGGGTGCGTCCGCCCTACTTTTCCTCCCCCCGATGCCTGCCCCCCCTCCCCGAAACCGCGGGTCTCGTCGGGGAGTCGTCGCCCGATAGCTCGGCCATCGGGAAAATTGACCCGCGAGGAGGTTTTCGTTCCGAGAATCCCGGGCGTGAAAAATGAAACTCCGCGACTCCGGGAGCCAGTCGAGGAGGTATCGATCAGCCGGCCGACCAGAGGTCGCGAAACGTCGATGCGAAAATGACGGAAAGAAAGGGAGAGGGGGTCGTTCCGGGTGCTTTCCCGGGACTGAAAAACGCAGAGTAAATACGTGCGCGCGTATATAATCCCGTCCAATTACGAGAACGAACAAAGGGGTCGACCGACCGCGAAGTCTCGAGAGGTCGAGCCGGCAGTGCGCACAGGTGGTTGGTCGAAGATGGTCGGTTAAAACGGACGCGTTACGGGTTCCCGCGATCCTCGGCCGTTTGTCGGGTCATCGATCGGGGTGCGTCCGATCGTAGCCAAATCGGTAGGAACCCGAGCGTCCTCCGCCCCCACTCGCGGGGGCTCGTCCTCGAAAACGACGACTCGGACTCGGGGTCGCTCCCGGGCTGCGATGTTCCAATTGCCGGGGCACCGGGGAAGGAGTCGGGTGGCGGGACGAAGACGCATCTCCCTTCGCGTCTCCGGAAGTCTCGGGCCAAGTTGGAGGGGCCGCTCCGACGGGACCCGCGACCGGGGTAGGTGTAAAGACGAGCCGTAAATCGGGCCGGGACCGCGACGGTGCCTGACCCGGCCATAAATCCCGAACCAAATCCCGAACCGAGGACGAGGTCGCGGCCCTTCCGCGGCTTCCTCCCGTCAACGGTGGCGGTCCTTCTCCTTCCTCCCGCTACGAATCCAATCGAGGGGCGAACTCGACGGAAACCTGTCTCCGCTCCTCCTTGCGATCGGTAAAAGGGCCCTCCCGAGGTCCTCTTCGGCCTTCTTCTTTTCGTGGGTCCATTGGAATTATTTTCTTCCAACTTTTCCGTCGAGACGTTGGGTCCGCGATAAGTCGGATCACGAAGTGGAGTCCGGAATTCCTGAAGAAGGAATCCAATTCTCTGGGGAGAGCGGCTCGCGGAGGCATTTCCGGGATTAAAGCGCTGCGGCAAACGCGAAATTCGCCTTCCGAAAGAGCGGAGTCCCCGGGATATCCTTGGGGATAAGCCGAGAGGTGACGCGCGTCATCTTATCTCTTCCCCGACGTTCCCCCTTTGTTTTTCCCGTTGCTTCGCTTCGTCCTCTCCCCCTCCGTTTCCATCCCCTTCGGCGGATGCAAACTCTTCCGAACCGTGTCCTCGAGTCGTAGTTGATTCGCGCGAAGCTTTCCGCGAATCTTCATTGAACGGCCTCTTAAAGATGCTCGTTACGTTTGAGAATACGTACCAACGCAGATTCGACGTTGAAAGAATTTTTCAAAAGGAAGGAAGGAATGCGGCGAGGGCCCTGCGGTTCGCTCTTAGAGGTCAAAGATGTCCTCGATCGTCCAAAGACAATAGACGAAAGAGGTCCTTCAAGGCTTAAAGTGAGGTACGGAAAGAGCAGAGGACTTTTCTTTCCTCTCTCGAAAAAGTAATACCTCCCCCTTCGCGCGGTCGCGAGATTCCGCGATGCCCGGGCCGAACCTCCCGCGTCCGGGACGACGGAGCGCGCACCGACGGCTAGAGAACTCGCGAACGCGCGAGAACGAGGGTAGAGAGTAAAATGGAGATAACCGAAGCCAGGGATCCCGCTTTTATCCGTTCCCCCTGAAAAAAACGCAACGAGGCGCCGCCGACTTCCATTGAAAGGAAAGGGGGTCAATCCGGCCCATTTCGGAGTCGAAACCGCTCTCATCGCCGTACCGAACGTTCATTCAACCTCTCGCATACAGAGTCTCGTACAGAGGTAACGATACCGACGACCGTAACCGTAATTACAAACTGTACGATCGTATTCCCATTTTCTGCCGAGTCGGCGCTCACGGGGGAAGGCACCACCCCGGTAAGGTGGTGCCTTCGAGGCGGCGGAGGGGGAGACGAAGGAGGACGGGTTGAAGCGAAACTGGTCCAGGGGGATCGCGAACAAAGGGCCCCGCAAATTGGCCGATTAATAATCGGGCCGGCGAGGGGGGATCGATGCGATTAGGTGGCCGAGAGGATGATCGGGCGGCGAGCGAGCGGCGCTTCGCACGCATCCCAATCCGAGGCCAGACGGGGAATCGGACCCGGACCGCCCGGGGCGCCGATCGATCGGCAAAGCCGCTCGAAAAAGCTCCAAATCTCGTTTCGCGCCGGGATTTCGCATTTTCCGCTGGAAATCGCCCGCCAGAGGCCCTTTAAAGCCGTCCGCCGGGCTACGCGCCGCGTTCGCTTTGTGCGTCGCGAAGCGCCGCGCCGGAAAATGGAGAGAATCAGGAAAATCGCGACGACGAGGGATCGCGGAAGAATCGATTCGGTTCCTTCCGGACCGGCGGAGGCTGCGGGGGGCCCCGCTCCCTCGGGGACAGGCTTTCGCTTTCCTCGGGGCTGGATCCTCGGAAGGGGGGCACGTCGAACCACTGGTACCTCTTCGGCTGGCTCTCGTCCAGCTCGTACTCCAGGCACCGTCTGGGGTATCTGTCGAAAAAGCGAACTCTCACGTTCCTCCTTCCCAGACGGGAGCTTTCCATCTTCCGAATCGCCCCGGGTCCTTGTGCTCCAGTTTCCCTCGGAACTTACGTCGATCGGCGCCTGCATCCCACGACGGGGTAATCATCGCGAAAGCACTGGGTCCCCAGGAGGGTGAAGTACGCGGTACCAACTTTTCCTCCGGCATTGTCCCCGGAATCGCGCAGACAGTCATAGAATCTCTCGTCGCAGGCGCAGAGTACCCTGAAGACACGCCAAAGTTCCTCAGAAGATACCTCTCGTCCCAGGACCCCCCCGGCCCCCGAGCGGCGCCCCAAGGTCCGCCCGGAAAAAAGGTAAACTCTCTTCGACTTCACCTGGTGTAGAAGGCGGGGTTGGTCAGCCCGTGCGCGCTCCGCCCGCCCTCGATGGCGTCCTCGCAGTGATCGTGAGCTCGGCAGCAGGCGTCGGTCTCGGCAAAGGTGCCCAGGTCGTCGTAATCCTCCGCCACGTTTCCGCTACCGCACCACTTCGTACCTGGCCGTCGAATTCGATCCGAATGAAAGCCCTCCTCGACCCCGTTGGCTCTCGATCTCACCTGGGAAGATGATCCGCGGGCTGGGTTCCCCGCTCTCTCGCTGACCGCTGCCGTCCGCGTCTTCCGGGTCCGAGAGGCGATTCCCTATCGCCCATCCTCTGGAGCACCCGAGGAAGCCCAGCGCGAGGACCGGGAAAATGCGGAGCGCGAAAGGGACCATCTCGAGGCACCGCAGGACTCTCGACGAGGAACGGACCGGTCGGCCTTTATATTCATCCTTGACCACTGGTCGGCTGCTCGCGCGGAGCTCGACGAGTCGATAAGCCGCGGATAAGCCGCGGATAAGCGGCGATAAGACCCTCGACGAGTCGGGCAATCTGGCACGTGGGTTGATTTTTCGGGTGGAGAAATCAGGTGACGCCGGAACTCGCGATTAGCAGTTTCCGCCGGATCCGGATCCGGTCAGGACGCGGCGGGGTTCGGGCCCGGCTCGCGAGCAGTTCCTCGGGTGAGCTCGAAGCGACGACCCGCGGCCCCGCGCAAAAACGAGGAAAGAAGGAGGAAAGAAGGAGGACGAGATTTACGAGGGTCCAGACGAAGGCGTCCAAATCGCGGAACGAGGGAGAGACGTCCATCCGAGACGCGCGGCTCGGCCCCGGGTCTGCCCGCCGTCATCCGGAAAAGATTTACGCACCCTCGGGAGGTGGTACGGCCGAGTCGGGAAAACGCGGGATCCACGGACCGGAAGGTATTCGGGAATCGGCCAATTTGCGCCCGGTCGCGTCGGGAGCTTCGGCGAGCTCGAGCCCGGTCTCTTTAAAGCTTAAAGCCCGCCGGGAGCGAGCGGCGGTTCCGGCATTTTTATTATTAGACCGGTGGGCGGTTAAAAGCGGTCCATCGCGCCGAGTGCGCCCGTTTCGCCACTGGGCGGCCCGAGTATTTATAGGGTGCCGTAGGTCGCGCACGAGGCCGCGTAAAAGCTCCCGCCATCGACGGCACGTACCTTCGCCTCCGTTTTTTCGACCGACCCCTTAAAACGGCGGATCGTCCGCTCTCCACCCTCGACCCTCGTATCCGGGACTCTCGTCCAGGGGAGGACACGCGAAGTGTCGGAGGTTCCGAGGTCCCACCAGTCCCGCCTGACGACGGGCACACGCCGTCAGCCAGAGTCCCACGGCCGTGACCCTGTCGGCGGAAACCGCCTTCCCGATCCCGGGTGGGTCCGGGAAGAGGGCGCGCATTCTTCCCAGGAACTCCTCGACCGGGTCCCGAGCCGGATGCTCGGAATCGTCGGGCGGCTTCTCCCTCCGAGTCTCCGGGCAGTGGCAGAGTCCCCGAGCCCCCTCCGCCTCTTCCTCCCTCGAGCGAGCCGAATCCGCGGTTCCTTGGGATTCGGCTCGCTCGGGATGCCGCGTCGTCTCCTCGCCTTCCATCGAAGGGGAGTACTCCTGGAAACAAGGTTCGACGACGATCCGGTTGTCGATCTCGTCGAGAAACAGAGGAAACAGAGGCGAGGGAACAACGGAAAATTCACCTCCCCCTCGGACTCGTCGGCGGAGTCCGTTATCCCGGAGGCAGCCTGGCCGTCCTTGTTCGGATCCGGATCCACCTCCCGCTGGTCTTCTCTTCTTTGCTTCTCCTCCCTTTCCGCGGCTTCCCGAGACTCGGGACTGGAGGACGTCGGAGAAGGCACCGTTTCGTCGGCCCCGCTCGCCGTTCCCTGCGAGTCGCCTTCGGCTCCGAGCTCCTCGTCGTCCGATTCCAGGGATCCTCGGGAACGAAACGTTTCCGGAGCTCGAGGCGCCTCGCCGAGCGGGACCGAGACGGCTTCGGGCTCCGGCTCCCCTGGACATCGGAGGCCCGCCAGGAATCCGTAAAGGTCCAGGAACGTTTTCAGCGGGATCATCGCCGAGCCTCCCTCGGGCTCCTCCGTCAGCAGCTCGCAGACGTGGATCATGGTCTCGAAAAGGTTCTGCAAAGGGGAGACTCGAGCGATTTTCCGTTCTTTCTTCTTTCCCGCCCCGGCCGGGAACGCCGAGACTCACGTTGCCCAGCGAGCCGCAGCACACCGCCAGGAACCGGTAAAAGTGGCACCCCCGCTCGAGGAACCTGCCCGTCGTCAGAACCTGGTAGAGACCGGACTCCGGCAGGCCCATTCCCTGCCAGCGCGACAACAGGCTTCCCACGGGCACGGACTCGACGTGGCCAAATTGCCGCAACAAGGTCTTCAAGTATCCCGGAGAGATGCCCGATGGGTGGTCCCCGGGGGGATACTCCAGCCGCCTCTGAATCGAATCGATCTCGAGAGTCTCGGGAGAACGGGGACCGGTCCTTCCGGTTCCTACCTTCACCGGGGGCTCATCTCCGTTGGACAGGGCCCGGAAGTAGGCGGACGTCCACCTCAGGAGGTCGTACGGTTGCGTACGGATCGCGGCCTTTGCGTACAGCTTGAGGATATGGGGAAACGTCACCGGCACGTTGATCTGCTCGGCGCAGTACATACGTTCCACCGAGTCCGGCATGTCGGCCGGAGCAGGCCGGAGCAGGCCGGAGCAGGCCGGAGAAATCGATCGCAAAGTCGAGCGTACGTCAAGAGGGGCCAGGGCTTCCGGTCGGCGGCAGTCGGCGGCAGTCGGCGGTCGCGAAACGAATCTCGCGCCGTGAAGGCGGTCGCGGACCACTCGCGGAACCCCGAGGGCTTCCGGGGCGGCGCGCTCGGCCGCCCTTCGTCTGCCCCTCGTCTGCCCCCCGTCTGCCCCCCGTCTGCCCCCCGTCTGCCCCTCGTGGTATCGGCGCGAATCGCGAGTTCTCGGCAAGGGTTAAACTTCGAGCGTTTCCCCGTCTTGCCCCGTCCCTCGGGAAACCACCACCGGGAAATCGATGGACGAGTTCGCGCGGCCGAGCTTAACGAAGCTTAATAAAGCCGCCTTTATTCGAGGGTAGAAAAGATGCCTCGGCAAATGTGCCCAGAGGGTGAAAATCCGCTTGTACGGTTCGTACACCTCGTATAGAGGTTTCCCGGCGCTCTCCCCTCCCCTCGCGCCCTTTCAACTCCTGGGATTCGTCCCCCGCGCGCTTCCCCCAAAGCGAAGCCTTTCCTTCCGCATAAAACAAGCGAGACCGCTTTCCTCCCGAATGCGCCCGGAGAGGATGCCCTCCTTCTCCCGCGTTCGGCGGAGATGCGCTTTCAATGACACCCGCGAAAACGGCCGGAATCGCGAGAGCGAAAGATCGTCGAGGGTCGGACAATTTTGAATCGACGAGGCGTTCCTTTCCGGGGCGGCGGGAGAATCCGCGAGAGGATAACTCGGGAAACAACGAGCCCTCGGAGAAATTACTCCGGGGTCCCGGGAGAAGGGAGCATCCGAGGAATCCGCTTATCCGTGGTATCGGACCCGCCGCCCTCCTTCGGGGAAAAGTTCGCCGCTCCGAAGAAACGGAAGGCGATTTTTCGAGGTTCCTTCGAATCACGGAGCGAGGCGAAGAAAATGGCGGAGGACACGTCGGAAAGGCTTTTCTCCGGGGAAAATGGGTCGACGAGAAGCGGGGGAGGGGCCGACAAAGCCGGATGAAATATCGAGAGGAGGAATAAACACGAGGAACGAATCGCAGATGTCGCTCTCGATATTAAAGATGGAGGGAGTCGAAAAGGAGACGCGTCGCCGCCTCGGATTCGATCTCGGACTTTTCCCGTCCGAGCCGCGTCCCTTCGGCGGCTGCCCCGGGTCGGGAACCGATCGCGCCCGAAACGACCCTCGAGTGTTTACTCGTTCGGGGGTAACGATATTCTAGGGGCGAGGAGGTCGGATGCGCGAGGCCGGGTCGGGGCGAGGGAGGCGGTTCGCCGCTCCTACTGAAAACTGCACGCCGGCTCCTTGTTGGCCCAACTAGGACCTAATTGGCGAGAAGCGCGCAAACTTGCTGATTAAAGGATTAATTATAACGAAGACGTCGGCTAATTATAACGAGAACGACCGACCGGCGTACAAACGCTTCGCCTCGGCCTCTCGCAGTCCCGAACTCCTGCAAAATGAACGGCGACGTCGGCGTCGTTACGGAGGAGGCGCGAAGTCAACGGTCCGAAAGTTTCCGGTGCCGGCCCTCCGAATGGAATCGATCGCATCGCATGCGACCCCCGGGTCGACGGCTCCCGATTTTCTGGGGAGTTCAAGGGGAGGGTCGGGTCTCGTCTCGCCGAGGACGTCCGGTTCGGACAGCTCCGAATCCGTTCGTTTACAAAGGAGGGCCTCGTTACGGCCGGACGAGGAGAGACCGAGAGCGGCGCGGAACGCCCGCCTCGTTAAGGGCGAGAAATCATGGAAATCCGATAATCCGCCGTTCGATCTCGCGAGGGCGAGCCGTTCGTCGACCGGGAATCGGTCGGTCGTTCCCCGGCTCGGAGTGGAGCCGACGTCCTCGATCGAACGGAGCGTCCCCTACTTTGGGGAGTCGTTTCCTGGCGCGTAAAGGCAAGCCCGAAGAAAGGAAAAAGAATTCCGGAAACGGTCCTCGGAGATTCGTCCCGAAAGTGGCGGCCGGAGGCCGGGTTCCGTTCGCAATTTCGCGACGTTCCGGCCGCGTCCGGACGGATAACGCGGATCGTAAACGAGATCGTTATACTTTTACGTCCGCACTCCCAAGATGGCCGCGCTCCTTACGAGGAGCCTACGAGACGGGGCGCGGTCAGGCCGAGGGTACAGGTGGAACCGTTTACGGCGCCGTCCGGGGCGGACTCGCCGGATCCTCGAGAGCGCAAAGGGCGTCGAGAAGAACGGATCGATGGGACGGTCGCGCGTCCCGGGCTCCCCCGGGCTCCGGGGGATTCAGGCCGCGCGATCGAGGAATCCCGAGAGCCCCGGGGAAGAGGTAAAATGGCCCGGTCTCGTCGCCAACGCCGGCAAACGGGCTTCCCGGTCCCCCGAACCTATCCGCGCTCAGCCGGGGACGCTCGCGAGGGGGTCCGGGGCCCCCGGCCGCAGCAAATCGATGGAAAACGGTGCGCCGCCTCGCGTACGCGTACGCAGCTCCGGGAGCGGGGGCGGGGGGCCTTAGCGCGATTTAGGTCGCGGCAAGGGGGTGGTTGCCCCTAACGAGCCACCTCGGTCACGTTGAACAATGGATCGCGAAGAAGCGCGCGACGCTCGTCGTCGCGGGCCCGCACGTACGAGACCCGGCCAATTTGGACCGCCGCTGCCGGGCTAAGGGTCGCTCCCATGGTCCGCCGGGTTA